CGGCATCGTTCGCCAACACTGCATACTGTTGTCAGCACTGACAGTTTGTGCAGCCGAATGGTTGTTGTAGAGGGTTTGACTGATTTAGTCAAATTTGTGTAGTTTTGCAAAAATTTACATTTGGAAGCATCGTTTGTCTCTTTAGCTTGCCAAGGCGAAAAGCTCCAGAGCGCGACAGCGATGGAAGTTGCTTTCAAGTTATCTCAGAAATCGCAGCAGCCGACTGCACGAATACCCTTCGAAATATGTTGATGCAAAATTTGCAGTCTTTGAGCGGACTCCGATCTCGAAACCATCCAGAAGCGGATGCTGGTATCACCTAAAATCGCCAGTTGGTGGCATTTCTTTCGATGTTCATATACTGTCATCGCTGATTATGACTCCGAACGATTTGACAGGCTTCAACAGTACTGGTAATATCAGGATATGGCCGTCCGAAGAATACTTAGCCTACTACTTGTTGCAAAATCAAGCCATAGTCCGTGACAAGAGTGTCCTGGAACTAGGAGCTGGCATGGTCGGTTTAAGTGGTCTAACAAGCGCTAGGCTTGGTGCACATGAAGTGGTCTTGACGGATGGGAATGAGAAATCCGTGAAAAATGCCCAGCTGATAGTTGATGAAAATTTGTTGGGTGATCGCGTCAGTTGCTGCGTGTTGTCCTGGACATGCACTTTACCACGGAATGATCAGTTTGATTTGATTTTGTGTGCTGATTGTTTGTTTTTCACGGAAGAGCACCGGAATTTGCTGGACTGTACTTACCAGCATTTAAAACCGTGTGGTTCTGCATATTTTTTGGCGCCCGATAGAGCCGGGACTGCGAAGATCTTTTTGGATTGTTTGTACGGGGAAAGACGTAGATGGAATAGCGTTAGCGTGAATTTTCATGTTCAAGATGAAGCGAAACTGATGAGTGAAAATGATATTCATGTTGATGATCAAATACTTATCATTTTAAGAAAGTGATTAACTAGCTATATGCTTTTTCATTACCACCATGGTCTGGGTTACATTGGTCCAGGCCTAGAATTAGAACAATGTACGGCCCAACGCCTTTTTGGTATGTTATGAACTGCTGAAATATATTTCACTACGCTGGTTCTAAACAGTGTCCCAACCGTTCTGCTGCACAAGTTGCGCTGAAAGAGTAAGAGTACTCGAGTTTAAAGTATTACCACGTTA